GCTACAGAAAAATATCTGGAAGTTCAAGATTTAAACTGGGAAATGGTTGAAAACGTGATGGGAAAACCGATAGAACCACCAGAAACTGGCAGAGTGACGAGGATTTAAAGATGAATTAAAATTATGAGGGCAAATGTGATTAGGTATTTATTCTGTTGGGTTATTCTGTTTTTTTTGTATTTTTTTTTTTGTTGCTTGGGTGAATCGTTTCCTGTTTCCTTGCTGTACTCCATATCAGTTGGTGAAGGTAATGCACTTCTCACAAGTTGGCCAACCGCCATAAAACCTCACAAGAAGAAGAAGGTGGAGCCACTGACATTTTTACCCCTCCTCATCCTTTCTGACTCTTTTTCACCAGTTTTGCATTTGGCTAGGGTCACTGTCACTACTGTTAGCATGAGGCGCTACCTGGACCCTACAGTGATTGCACAGGAAGTCCAACTCCTCAAATACGTGCCATTGCCAGAAGGTTTGTTGTGTCTCCCAGCACAATCTCAAGAGCATGGAGGAGATTCCAGGAGACAGACAGTTACTCCAGGAGAGCTGGACAGGGCCGTAGAAGGTCTACAACCCATCAGCAGGACCGGTATCTGCTCCTTTGTGCAAGGAGGAGCAGGAGGAGCACTGCTAGAGCCCTACAAAATGACCTCCAGCAGGCCACTGGTGTGAATGTCTCTGACCAAACAATCAGAAACAGACTTCATGAGTGTGGACTGAGGGCCCGACGCCCTCTAGTGGGCCCTGTGCTCACTGCCCGGCACCGTGGAGCTTGACTGGCATTCGCCATAGAACCCCGGAATTGGCAAGGCCGTCACTGATGCCCTGTGCTTTTCACAGATGAGAGCAGGTTCACCCTGAGCACATGTGACAGACGTGAAAAGATCTGGAGAAGCCATGGAGAACGTTATGCTGCTTGAACATCGTTCAGCATGACCGGCTTGGTGGTGGGTCAGTGATGGTCTGGGGAGGCATATCCATGGAGGGACACACAGACCTATACAGGCAAGACAACGGCACCCTGACTGCCATTAGGTATTGGGAAGAAATCCTCGCACCCATTGTCAGACCCTATGCTGGTGCAGTGGGTCCTGGGTTCTTCCTGGTGCACAGCAATGCCTGGCCTCATGTGGCCAGAGTATGCAGGCAGTTCCTGCAGGATGAAGGAATTGATAACAATGATTGGCCCCCATGCTCGCCTGACCTAAATCCAATAGAACACCTCTCGGACAATTATGTTTCCATCCATCCAACGCCGCCAAGTTGCACCTCAGACTGTCCAGGAGCTCAGTAATGCCCTGGTCCAGATCTGAGAAGAGATACCCCAGGACGCCATCCTTCGTCTCATTAGGAGCATGCCTCGGCGTTTGTATGGCCCCTATGTGCATGCATACATCCACGTAGGCGCCATACAAATTAATGAACACCATTTTGAGTTGCTGCAATGAAATTTCAGCAAAATGGACTAGCCTGCCGCATCATTTTTTCACTGTAATTGTTGGGGTGTCTTTGAATTCAACCCTCTGTAGGTTGATCATTTTCATATCTATCAAATGATGTGGCTTCCTTTTGTTCCTAACACATCACCCAGTCCATATCAGTATAAACGGCATGATTTTTTGCCCCATTGAGATCTGATGTGTTTTCAAAGTATTCCTTTAATTTTTTTGAGCAGTGTATATATATACACAATTTATCACCACTCGTGGGGTGGTATGTGTCATCCTCAAGCTCGGGTCCTCTACCAGAGGCCTGGGAGTTTGAGGGAATCTGCTGTAGCCAATCTCACAGTTTGGGGATCACAGCCCCCAGTGCTCCAATTACCACTGGCACCACTGCTGCTCTTACTTTCCACATCTTTTGTAGCTCCTCCTTCAGCCCTTGGTATTTCTCAAGCTTCTCGTGTTCTTTCTTCTTGATGTTGCTGTCGCTTGGGATTGCCACATCTATCACTACTGCCTTCTTCTGCTGTTTGCCGATCAACACGATGTCTGGTTGGTTAGCCATCACCTGTTTGTCAGTCTGGATCTTGAAGTCCCATAGGATCTTGGCTCGGTCATTCTCAACTACCTTAGGAGGTGTCTTCCATTTTGACCTTGGGACTTCCAGCCCATACTCATGGCAGATGTTCCTGTACACTATGACAGCTACCTGGTTATGGCGTTCCATGTATGCACTTCCTGCCTGCATTTTACACCCTGCTGTTATGTGCTGTATTGTTTCCAAGGCATATTTGCACAGTCTGCATCGGGGGTCCTGCCTGGTGTCTTCGACCCCAGCCTCTATTGATCTTGTACTGATTGCCTGTTCTTGTGCTGCCATGATTAGTGCCTCTGTGCTGTCCTTCAGTCCAGCCTTTTCCAGCCACTGGTAGGATTTTTTTTTATATCAGCCACTTCTATTTGTCTGTGGTACATGCTGTGCAGCGGCTTGTCCCTCCATGATGGTTCTCCGTCATCTTTCTTGTCCTCACTTTCGGTTTTCTCCTGCCTGAGGTATTCGCCAAGCCATTTGTTTTTGGGGGCCATCTTTCTGATGGCGTCTGATGTACTCCTGGATCTGGGTGAAAACCTCCATGCATTGTGAGGAGCTTTCTCGTCTTGTTGTCAGTAGCCTCTATCTCCTCCTTTGGCCAGTTCATTATACCAGCGGGGTATCTGATGACTGGCAGGGCATGTGTTGATGGCTTAAATCTTGTTTTTCCCATTCAGCTGACTTTTCAGGACTTGCCATACTCTTTTTAGATATTTGGCTGTGGCGGTCTTTCTTGCTATCTCCTCGTGGTTTCCCTTAGCCTGTGGCACCCCAAGGTATTTGTAGCATTCCTGAACATCTGTAATGTGGCCTTCTGGTAGTTCAACCCCCTCGGTTTTGATCATCTTCCCTCTCTTTGAGACCATGCGACCGCACTTGTCCAGTCCGAATGACATTCCAATGTCGTTGCTGTAGATCCTTGTAGTGTGGATCAGTGAGTTGATGTCTCGCTCACTCCTGGCATACAGCTTGATGTCATCCATGTAGATGAGGTGACTGATGATTGTTCCGCTTCGGAACTGGTATCCATAGCCAGTCTTTGTGATGATCTGGCTGAGGGGGTTCAGGCCTATGCAGAACAGCAGTGGGGATAGTGCATTGCCATGGTATATGCCGCACTTGATGGTGACTTGTGCAATTGGCTTTGTGTTTGCTTCCAGACTTGTTTTCCACAGCTTCATTGAGTTCTTGATGAAGGCTATTAGTGTCCTGTTGATCTTGTACATTTCCAAGCTTTCCAGTATCCATGTATGTGGCATTGAGTCGTAGGCTTTCTTATAGTCAATCCAGGCAGTGCACAGATTTGTCTGCCTGGTCTTACAATCTCGAGTGACTGCTCTATCCACTAGTAGCTGGTACTTGGCTCCTCTGTTACTGCCTATTCCCTTCTGGGAAATGTGCATGTATTGAGCCATGTGCCTACTCATCTTAGCCACTATGATGCCTGACAGGAGCTTCCTTGTGATACAGAGGTAAGTTATTGGCCAGTAGTTGGATGGGATTGTTCCCTTCTGGGGATCCTTCATAATCAGAATTGGCTGTCCTTGGATTAACCATTCTGGGTGGGTCCTACCCATCAGCAGTTGGTTCATTTGTGTTGCCAGGGGTGCATGAAGTGCGGTTAGTTTTTTCACCCAGTAGGTGTGGATCATGTCAGGGCCTGGTGCTGTCCAGCTCTTCATACCTGCCGCTCTTTCTTGGACATCTGCTGTTGTAACAGTTACTGGTTCTTGTTCTGGGAGATTGCTGTGATCTGTTCTTAGATCCACTAGCCACTGAGCATTGGTGTTGTGGGATGCCTCCTTCTCCCATATGTTCCTCCAGTACTATTCAGTCTTAGCCCTGGATGGATCTGATCTTGTATTTATTACCCTGCCATTGTGAGTACACTTTGGATGGGCTGGGGGAGAACATCTGGTTTATTCTCCTGGCTTCTGCTTCTCCCTTGTATCTCTTTTGGCGGGTGGCCAGGGCGGTGAGTCTTTGTTTGGCAGTTTCTAGAGCCTTAGGATTCGACAGCTTGTTGTACTTAGGTAACCTCTTCCCTACACCTTTCTTTAGGTCTGAGAGCTGACTAACCTCTCTTCATGTTGGTTTGATCTTGGCCTCCAGCCTTCTCCTCCATGGGGGGTAATGCTCTTTGTGGCCTGTGGTGTTTATCTTATAGCCAAGCCTCTCTAGGATCAATGTAGCTGTAGCATAGATCAGCACATTGGTCTCAGTTATGTCTTTAGTAGGGATAGTATGTAGTTCTGCATTTACATCTTCTAGAAGTCTTTCAGAGGGTACTCTGTCACTCAGCCTTGACAGTCTTAGTCGTCGTACTAGGAGGTCCAGCTTGGTTATAATACGCAGTCGTAGGTCAGCCGCCCTTACGTTTAGTGGGCTTGTTGTTATTGGGGCTTGGGATACAATCTCTGAGTGTTGGGATGATGATGATGATGATGATGATGATGATGATGAAACCTCCCTGTTGTCTTGTTGTCCTGTCAGTTGTACCTCATCCATTTCTAGTTGTGATAGGAGCTGCCTTTTGCGAAAGTTAGAACACTGAGCTAGGAGTTGTTTCTTTGTCGGTGTCGATGATGGGTTTTGAAGCATCCATATATCCCATAATCTCTGCATGTACGTCTTGTTCCAGTAGCCCATCTCTCATCAAGTTGCCCTGGTTCCCTAGCAACTAAAGCGGACCTTGTTAACCCAAGCAACGTCCGAGCCAGTATGGCTCTTGTGTTTGTGGTTTCACTCATGCCTGAGGTAGGCTATTAGCACTAAGGACCTTGCCTAAGGGTCCACCTGGATGTCCATGCCCTGACCGGGAGTCGAACGCACGATCACCTGTACCTATATATCTCTCTTTATATATATATATATATATATATATATATATATATATATATATATATATATATATATATATATATATAAAGATAGAGAGAGATGATTAAAGTGAAGTGTCCTTTCTTTAACCTACAATAGAAAGTCATTCTGCTGTGTTTGTCTTTCCAGACAACCTGCAGGATTCTGTTGGAAAAGAGGAGGATTTCTCTGACCAGCAGCTCTATGAACAGGAGAGGAATTCCAGTTTGGACCAAGAGGAACCAGAACTTGTGCAGATAAAAGAAGAGCAGCAAGAACCAGAACATCCCTGGACAAAAGAGGAAACCGTGGAGCTCCCCATAACTGAGCAGGAAGAGCAGCTTGTTCTGAAGCAGGAGACAGAAGATACATGCAAGGAACATTTACCATGTTTGACATGTGAAGAAAACTTTCCAAAAAAAGAACATTTAATGGATCACATGAGCACTCACTCAGGCGAGAACATTAATGAAAGTCTGTCCTCTGGAAAAAGTTTCTCTCAGAAATCAAATCTTGTTACACACACCAGACTTCCTACAGGTGAGAAACCATTTTCCTGTACTATTTGTAACAAAAGGTTTACTTTAGAAAGTAATTTGACTAAACACACAAGAAATCAGACTTGTGAGAAGCCTTTTGAATGTCTGTCCTGTGGAAAAACCTTTATCTTTAAATCTGGACTTAATGAACACATGAGAACTCACACAGGTGAGAAGCCTTTCTCCTGTACTATTTGTAGCAAACAGTTTACTCTAAAGGGTAATTTAACCGAACATATGAGAATTCACACGGGTGAGAAGCCTTTCGAATGTCTTTCCTGTGGAAAAAGCTTCGCTCAGAAATCTAATCTTACTACACACATGAGAATTCACACAGGTGAGAAGCCTTTCTCCTGTATAATTTGTGGCAAAAAGTTTACCTTAAAAAGTCATTTGACTTTTCACATGAAAACTCATTCGGATGAAAGACATTTTTCTTGTTTGTTCTGTGGAAGAAACTTCCCTCAGAAATCGCATCTTGATAGACACGTAAGAATTCACACAGGGGAGAAACCTTTTTCCTGTACAATTTGTGGCAAAGATTTTACTAGAGAGGATAATCTGACTCAACACATGGGAACTCACGTGAGAAATATTTTTAATCCATGACACATGAAACTAATTATCTTAAAAAGAGAGATGTGTTGCTTCACATAAGAAGTCCCAGCAGTTAGAACCACATGATTGAACAGTAGAGGCCTTTTCCATGTTTGACTTGTGATAAAATGTCAATTTAGAAACTCCTTCACCTCATTACACGAGAGACTCACAGGTTAAAAGCCTTTTTCTTGTTAAGTTTTAAGGACAAACTTTTCATTAACAGAAACTATTGTTTAATTAATTCAAATGATTTTTTTTCTGTGGTGGATGTTTCCCTTTAATGTCGTCACTTCTAGATTGATGTAGTGAGTGGGAATAAAAACCTAATGGATTCTAAAAATGTATATTATTTCATTTAAGTTACAAATCTTTTTCCATGTTTTTTTTTTCTGATATTAACAGACAAACTAGAGCTGTAATATAATTTAATGGTATTAAATTGTTTAGATGAATGTGTCTTTTTTATTTTTTGTGGTAATTGTTTGGTAGATTTAATTATTTCATATTCAATTTGAATAGATCAGTTTCTAGTTCATAGAAAGCCGGAGCTGGCAGGTGACATTTATAAGAAAATCTGATTACACAATGGACCAATAAAGTCCTTGTTTTAACCATCACTGGTTATGGAGCGTTTCTTTGGTATTAGGTGGTTAATGTGGAGCCATCGAGTCATCTCGATGTCATGTATTGGTGCTGGCTAGTCACTGAACCAGCTGAATCCAATGTGCACAATTTCATTCAATGTGCAGGTTGGACTCACCTTGTTCTGTAAAAATAAAAATGACAAATTCTGTTCTGTTTTTCCATGGTTTGAGGAACAATAATTACTCTTCATGGCAGGTTTGGCAATAATAAAGTTATCATAGCAACTTTCTGTGTCTACCATGGCATGTTCTGGCATCCTGTGGCATCTTCATTACCAGGGAATTCTACTGAGTACCAGTGTGTTTTTAGAGGAAAATTCCGGTCATATTCAAAATATGAAAATATTACTTTTCAATAACTGATTAGTGTTTTCAATTAAGAGTAATTTTATTAGAATGTTTGTCAACAAGCACTACTGCTACCTACGGCTTTGTGACTGTGCGGTATCGGCTGTTGATCAAGTCCCAATGCTGTATCTGGTGTTTGTCACAATGCGCCATTATCCATGATGGTGACAACAGAATCCCAAGCAGATGTTACACAGCCTGTGTTCTCTATGCTGCTTTCAAATGGAAAAAACCCCCGAAGAGCAAAGCTGATCAATGTTTTGAATAACCTTTAAATTAAAAATAAATTTTCTATAAAAATTAAACTTTGTGCATTTAATTTTCATTTTATCATATGAACTACAAATATTATATATATATGTGTGTGTGTGTGTGTGTGTGTGTGACACAACGAGGAAATTAAAATAAAAACAATGGCTGAAACGTTCCTATTCCTTTTAGGCTTCTCCAATACTTTTGATAATTTGATTAATAAAGAGCAAAAAAATGAGACTTTTTTTTTTTATCAGATGGATCATGTTGACAGATACATTTTTAAACACATTTTAGTGAGTCAGTCAGTTAGAAACAACTCCTGTATCGGTCACATGACTCTGGAAACGACACGCGCATCACTGTTGCTGGAACCATATACACAAACATGATCTTTTCTTATCTTTTTTAGCACTTTTTTTTATAACGTACCGGATTTTAAAACAACGAAACCCAATATTATATTCAAATAGTTTATTGTCCCTGTTGTATTAAGTAAGTACTGGGTGAATAAAGTGAAGATGTAGGCTTCCTTACACATGGTATTTTAATAAAATATAATAACATGAAAAAATAAGATAAATAGAAAAAATAAAAATATGAAACACTGATAATCACCCATGAATAGAGATAATAAAGATATCAAAATACGATTTAAAAACAGGATATGCTGCCTTCCTGTTTGTGAAGCAGAAGTTAACTATGACTTTAAAAGTGAGGCTACCCCAGTAGATGTTTGGAAATGCTGCATAATGTAAAATGTAAAGCAAGGTTTAAAGGGATAGTTCGGTATTTTTGGCATGAATCTGTATGGCATCCCCATCACCAGTGTCATGCAATCACACTGACTTACCCCTTTCAGCATCCTGTGAGCAAAGTTCTCGTCCAGTTTTGGTCAAGCCAAAAGTAGTCCGGCAGGTTTGCTAGACCCAGCGAAATAAAACGTTTCTCTTCCCAAAACATTATGTGTTCAAAAGAGTGATATTTTTGCATCCCAAAAACGTTGTAGTGGAAAAAGTCACACGTCGTTATCACTTGGTCCTATTTTCTCTCTGTTCGTATCAGTGCGCGCCGTCATTCAGACAGCCAGGGCCTACTAACCTGACAACAGCCAGATGCATGTCTCCCTCCGCCCAGCTAGGAGCTAGGCGGAGGGAGACATGCATCTGGCTGTTGTTGAGCTCGCTGTCTGAATGACGGCGCGCACTGATACGAAATCAAAATGTCAATATGTAGTAATATCATCAACTTAGCACAAAAAAATAACTCCATGTCACCAAGTTATCTGCTAGCTTCCACCGGATAAGAGCGGGAAATCCGGCCAATCGGATCCAGCAGAATAGAAACTCCCGCTGACTGACAGAAACACCCCCAAACAGAGAGAGGAGCGTAGTTTTTCTACAAGAGACACATGGGTAGTATGGAGAGATATTTGTTCCTTCGGTTTGGTCAAGCAGGAACCAATCGGAGCGCGCAGTGACACAACACGCATGGGCTCAACTCTGAAGAACTCTTCTCAAGCCATCTGCCAATCACGCCCAGGTTTCTTTCATCCAATCAAATGATTCGTTCCAAATACTACATCCCGTTAAATGAAAAAAAAATAAATAAATAAACCACAATCAGGAAATCAAACAACTCTTTTAGTTATGCGTTCAATCTTCAATTTAATGGACAGCAGATAGTACTATAAATATTGTTAATTATTTGAAATAAATGTCAGTAAAACAGATATTAGATCATCACCTCATCCGTCTCTTTTAGCCTGACATTGATATGGATTTAATTTTGTTGTTTAAAAAGAGAAATTAGGAGTATATTTTAGATTAAAGTATAACTTAACTATATTTAGATAAACATATTTTAGATATGGGATAATTTTTAGGGATGCTTCAAAATATTCCAATATTAGGAAAAGTTACAGAATCAAAATTTAAATGGGGTAAAAGAATCAGTGATGGAATTCAGCCTCAAAATGAGAAATGTGATGATATTGGCCTTAGAATGGATTGAAGAAATTGTTCCAGTAAGAAGTTTAATTTGCTCTGATTCTAGTTCAGCGTTATATTCATTTAAACACAATTATTCAGGCAGCAGACAGTAGAATGTATTTGTTTCAATCCCGATCCAGTTGTTTGCCAAAAGCCATATTTACATACATCTATGAATTCGCGAGCGAGCAGAGACGGATCGGAGCACCCGCAGAGATGGAGCTGAGCGTGACGACAGTGTGTTGAAAAGAGTTTTTCAGAGTTGAGCTCAGAGTGGTTCCCGCACGCTCAAAGTGCAGGCACAAATATCTATATCCTCCAACATCTCAGACACTGCCCTCATTTTGTTGGGATGAAGGATTTCTGGCTAAAGGCTGATTTATACTCAGAAACCAGAGACTGCACCTTACCTGCACTACCTCAGCCTGGAACAAACTATTGCTGCTGTTTTTATTGCTTTTTATTGTAATGTTTATACTTCATATTTATATTTATCTTACCACTGTTACCTGTCATGTCCCGCACTTTATGTCAGTTTTTAAATGTCAGTCTTGTATATTTCTTGTATATTTGTATATTGCAGAGAGTAAACGTAATTTCATTTCCCTTGTATGTCTTGTACATATGTAGAAAATGACAATAAAAGCTGACTTGACTTGACTTGACTTGTCTGAGTGGGTGTCACAGTGAACGCAAATGTGCCCCAGCCGCAGACACTCTGCTGCACCTCTCCAAATTTGTAGGTGATCGCAGACAGGAGGCCTCTGATTGCTCAGATCTACATCCGCTTTCCTGTTTGGTATCTTACCGACTTGTTTTGTTTTTATGACCACCATTGCAGAAAATCGACTCGGGATGTTGGACCAGCTAAAAGAGCGAGGTGTGCGAGAACGCTGGGACCCTTTTTCCACCTGGATCCCCGCTATTTTTGGCCCTCATGTCCCTCTGTTGTCGCACAAACTTGCCCCCACTTCCTCACCGCCTCGGCTGTAACTAGACCCACAGCTAGTAGCTGATTGTCCCTCTTGCTTTAAGGCGTGGAGTAACCTAGCGCAGACCAACACAATGCTGCGGCAGTATAACCAGCCCTTTAATGTATTGTCTTGAAACGCAGATCTACCTAATTTTTAAAATATCAACAAGTTCCTAAATAATCGGATCAGCATCTGTCATCTTCAGTTCTTTGGTGAGCTGTGTTTCATCATGGGATGGCTTGAGAATCTGTGTTCGGAAGGTTGCAGCATTGGCTCGAGATATGACACACTCGCATAATATTCACCGGAGAGTGAATCAGTGAATTCCAGTGGTGGATTCAGGGCACATATTCCAGAACATCTATATATGGCCATGTAGGAACCAGTTTTCTCATCTTTTTGTCTGCTCCCAATCCCTGAGCGATGGCTTTCTGCTGCTCCAGCATCATCTCCACCATCTTCTGATGTGAGTCCCACCTAGTAGGAAACTCGGTCACTAACTATGGGTAGATGAAGCTCTTCCTGAGCAACAGCCAGGAATCTCTTCTTCTTCCACGAAAAAGCTGAAGGCAGGCCTGGCTTTCTTACACCCACCCAAGGCATGCTTCACTTTCATGTGCTTTCCGGTTTTCTCTGGGGTGTGTAAATAATGGACAAGGGCATAAATCCAGCATAGTTTAAATGGTTTAAAATCTTCGGAGGTGGAACAAATTAAAGTTTGAGAAATACACAAAGCATTATTTTCCATTTCCATGTGAGGGACTGAAGGTGATCACCTCATCATCCAGGCCTTGCTGACCATCCCTCCTCTAGTACAGTCTAGACTTAGACTGTCACTGTGATCTTTTTTTTATAACTGTGCTCACTTCATTTTATGATTCAAACTATTTTTGCAGAAAAGAAAAAACACAGCCCTCTTGTCCTGCTGATTGCTACATTCTTAGCAAAAAAATAAGTAAGCTGCCCTCATTTAGCTCTGTTTTTCTCTTTTTTTACCATAATGCTTTTTTTAATAGGATAGAACAGAGAAATTTAATTAGAAAACCATTTAAAATCTGCTCAGCCTCTGACACATATAGCTGGGGTTTGTCTCTTCCAGGCAGAGGTTTATAGGAAGCTCTGCTGAGGCTAGGGTGTCTCATTACTCCCTTATTTGCCAGACAGTCACTGTGGTGTTGGATGTAAATGCTTTACTTTCCTTAATAATTGTTTGTGGGGAAATAAATTTAGGCCAGAATGAACTTCATATCTTCAGGTTGCTTTACAGGATCCACTCGCTCCTCAACCTCAAGGAGAGAGTTTGGTGCTTTTATGTGAAGTGTCCTTTATTTAACCACCAATAGAACGTCTTTCTGCTGTGTTTGTCTTTCCAGACCACCTGCAGGATTATGTTGGAAAAGAGGAGGATGTTTCTGACCAGCAGCTCTGTGGACAGGAGAGGAATTCCAGTTTGGACCAAGAGGAACCAGAAGCTCTGCAGATAAAAAAAGAGCAGCAAGAACCAGAACATCCCTGGACAAAAGAGGAAACCATGGAGCTCCCCATAGGTGAGCATGAAGAGCAGCTTGTTCAGGAAAACGAAACAGGAGAGAAACCTTTCCTATGTTTGACATGGGGAGAAAACTTTCTTAAAAAAGAACATGCAATGGTTCACATGAGAACCCACACAGGTGAGAGGCTTATAAATGTCTGTCCTGTGGGAAAATGTTCGCAAGGAAATCTAGACTTGATAGGAACATCAGACTTCCTAGCTACCGAAACACATCTTAAAAGCATTATTTTATCTTTTGTCAGCATAATTTTTTCCATCTTTCATTTTGATTAAAAATATTGTATCCACGGCCTCCTTCACTAAAACCATGTTAAATTCATGACACTTTATCATCAATGTGCAAGAGCTTAGATTGCAACAGGTTAGGCAATTCTCAGCAGACATGTACTTCTTCATAACACCTGTTCAGCAAAAGGCTAAAGGGCTTTTCCATCTTTTTTCTAACTATCTTAAGCGTCGTTAATCTGCTCTTCTTTAAGATGTATAATAATCAGACACTTCAAACCTGGTTTATATTACGGTATTCCAAGATAAAAGCAGAATTTGGTTTTGTGAAGGCTTTTTCTACCTTGTGAAACCTCAATAAAGAGGAAGGGCTTTTATTTTTGCATCTGGGCCACCTATTTAACCTGACATAAGCAAGATTGAAACACGTAGTTCAATTCAGTTCCTACAGTGTATCAATCTGGGTATCTTGTTAGCAAATGGAGGGTCATTCAGTACAAGCTTTTAGCCAATCTCAGCCGCAGTAGCAGGTGAGACATATCAGATTCTGTAAAACAAATCATTTGTTTGATTTCTTTTACAGTGTTAACTGACAAATCAAATTCTTACCAAATCAATTTGAGATAAACACACAAACATCTTATCTATTCAAAAAGGGAAAATCATCTCTTTCTGCTCATTTATATAAGAGAAAGAGAGGGTATTCCAGCTAAAACAGTCGCAGACATATTTGTGTTGCTTCAGCCTTCTGCCTCTGTCTCTGCATTTTAAATTGTTCAAAAGGAACAATTGGCTGTATCATTATTCTATTGTCATCCTGTGTGATATCTAAATGCTTTAGACTTGAGGCTTGACTTGACAATCACACACAGTTGCTTCACCATGGACAACAAAAGGTCTGTCAAAGGAATGTAGTGTGGATTAGTTTTTATTCTAGGCTTCAGAGTGAAGAAGAAATAAACTGATTGAACTTGTGTTTTGTGATTGAAGTCAACATTTCTTCTACAGAAAAATGTGATGGAAAATGTCATCTATGTTAACTTAAAACTTAAAATGTTTTGCATTACTCATGTCTTTCTTTTTTACCATCCTTTTAAATCTTTTTCTACTTATTGTGTCTAAAGAGTTGGAGTGAAAGAAGGGTTACAATCTAGCTCTGCAGTGAGGTCAGCAAAGACAGAATGCTAGATAAAGAGCTGGATCAGACCAGAATGGGCTCTGGCTTTTTGGAGTGCACTGCACTTTTCTTCTTCTGCCTTCTGGGATAAATGCATACCCTCATTTAGGGGCTTCTATGTAGGGTCACAATGAAACTGGTGCCTTTCTCCAACAGTCTCTGGGCAAAAGGCGCAATAAAACATGGGCAGTTCAGCAAAGAAAACCAAAAACATTTGTTTAATGGTTAAGAATCTGCGGGTACCGGTAATCAGATTTTAAAGCATTGATGAGAAAAGTGGAGCCTTAACCAATATTTTATAACCTGTGATTGTGATGTCAGAGCTGCAGTTTATGCTTGGAGATGTAGTTCTAGTCTGTTTTATGTAGTTAGATTGACATAAGGATTATTAAAGTGAGGTGTCCTTTTTTTAACCAACAATAGAAAGTCTTTCTGCTGTGTTTGTCTTTCCAGACCACCTGCAGGATAATGTTGGAAAAGAGGAGGATTTCTCTGACCAGCAGCTCTGTGAACAGGAGAGGAATTCCAGTTTGGATGAAGAAGAACCAGAAGCTCTGCAGATAAAAGAAGAGCAGCAAGAACCAGAACATCCCTGGACAAAAGAGGAAACCATGGAGCTCCCCATAACTGAGCAGGAAGAGCAGCTTGTTCTGCAGCAGCAGACTGAAGATAAAGAGGAAACTTTCCCAGGTTTGACATGTGGAGAAAACTTTCTGAAAGAAGAACATTTAATCGATCATGTGAGAACCCACACAGGTCAGAATACGTATGAATGTCTCTCCTGTGGAAAAATGTTCACAACAAAATATAGTTTTGATAAACACATCAGAATTCACACAGGTGCAAAGCCTTTTTCCTGTACCATTTGTAAAAAACAATGTACAGAAAAAGGTAGCTTGATTTCTCACACGAGAAGACCTTTTGAATGTCTGTCCTGTGGAAAAAGCTTCACTCGGAAATCTAGTCTTAATAAACACATCAGAATTCACACAGGTGAGAAACCTTTTTCCTGCACGATTTGTTACAAGAATTTTACCGGAAAAAGTGATCTGACTTCTCACATGAGAATTCACACCGGAGAGAGGCCTTTTGAATGTCTGTCCTGTGGAAAAAGCTTCCCCTCTAAGTCTGATCTTTACAAACACATCAGAATTCACACAGGCGAGAAACCTTTTTCCTGTACCATTTGTAAGAAAAGCTTTACACAAAATAGTAGTTTGATTAAACACACAAGAATCCACACTGGTGAGAAGCCTTTTGAATGTCTGTCCTGTGGAAAACGCTTCACCTCTAAGTCTGATCTTGACAAACACATGAGAGTTCATACAGGTGAGAAGCCGTTTGAATGTCTGTACTGTGGAAAACGCTTCACCCAGAAATCTATCCTTGATGTTCACACCAGAATTCACACAGCTGAGAAGCCTTTTTCCTGCATGATTTGTGGCAAACATTTTAACGTAAAATGTAATTTGATTAAACACATGAGAATTCACACAGGTGATGGCCATTGATTTATTACAAAGGTTTTAAACAAGAATGTAATTTTAGTATTCAGATGACATTTATTCATGCATGATGTGGAATGATTTATGTAAATAAAAAAACATTAGTTTCACATAAGTCACAGCAGTTAGACACCACAGGAATTAACAATAGATGCGTTTTCTGTGTTTGACTGGTTATAAAATGTCCATCTAGAAACTCCTTTACCTCATTACATGAGAAACTCATGGATTAATGGCTTTTTGTGAATGTGTGAATAAATATGTGAATGTGAGTAAATTCGATTTAAATGACCAAAAAAAGAACGTTGTCCTAACAAAAAAAAAAAGATGTTTACATTCACAATTTCTTACTTTTTCTGTAATGAATGGAATAAATAAATTATTATATAAAAGCGCAACAACAACATCTTGGTTGCAGATGAAGCAAGTTTGCTGTCCATACAACAAGAAATTGAGAAGTTCTAGATGTTTGAATTGAAATAAATCCAGATGAACGTGTGTTGTTGAAACCAGGCCCACCAAAACTCCAACTGTTTTTGGCCCAGTGTTAGAGCTATGGTCAATGGATATTAGAATGAAGTAGATCATCTATAGAGGAGTCTCAGATGAAGATTTGGGACATATATAAGTGTGTGTCAGTCTCAGAGTTAGTCAGCTACAAGCTAATTAATGTTGCAAAGTAGCTCCAGCCACCTTGAAAGGGGGTGCTGGGATTATGGGGTTAAACTACGGGACATCAAAGAACTCAGTTTAGAGGCTGGAGTCTGTAGTTCAGGTAAATTGAAGTCCTAAAATGATGAAACATGTTTGTTTAAAAAGATAAACAGGATTGATGATGTTATTTTTTCTGATCAGTTTGAACCTGCTTTAACTTGGTAAAAAGCCTTTGTCTTAATAATGTATTAAAGAAATATGAAACTCTTCTAGAAGTGTAAAGTTTCTGCTTTTTAAAGATTTTTAAAAGTAACATTTTCCTTTGAACTAATGTTCTTGTCCTTGATTCTGTAGATGTTCTATTTACCTGCTATAATTGAAAGTAACTATCACCTATTTTATACAACTGATTTTATGGATTATATTCTGCTGTGGATGTTTTTAATTATTGTAATCACTTCTAAATTGATGAACGAGCGGAAATAAAAACCTCATGGATTGTAAAAAATGTGTTTCTTTATATGGTTTCATATGAATTACAATCATTTTCCATGTTTCCTCTGATATTTTCAGACAAACTAAAGCTGTAAAATAAGCAGTTTATTGGCATTCACCTTCTGTCTGGATGACCGGAGAAGTTAGATCAGGAAATCTTGTAGTAATGTAGTTTGGACAGAGTTAGTTTTTGCTATTTGCATCTGATTGATCAATGTTTCAGTTGATATAACTAGGTGTGTCCAGTGCCCCTACAACCAAGCAACTAGAGGAGTAAATGGTCTAACTATGCAGCAGTGTTGGTTCCTGTCACTATGCCTCCAAGTGATCATGCTTCCTATCTACTTGGCAACAGGGTTATTCATTTGACTGTCTGATAAGCGTGCATGAATTTCACCCTGGAATCTGTGGCGTACTAGCTTGACGTAGTCCGACTCAATTCTAGTCAGAATATGAGTCTGATACTGCTCCATAGAGCTGTGATTATGGGGCGTGTTTTGAACGAACCAGGAAAAAAAATGCCTCTGCACTCAATTGGATAGACCTACAACCAATAAGAGCAACGGAGTGCGTGACGTATCTTAAGCGAGGCATAGTTGTTGTCCACAAAAATCAAAGCGTGCAGTTTCACGCCTAGAATAAGAAGATGAGACTTGATCGCGTTTCTCTGTTCCTCTTTTAAAATTAATTTGCTGTTGATATCTTCTAGAACAAACCTAATAGCAGAATCTACTCACCCAAACTCTCCAGCGGCAGCCATTATTGTTGTCACCCAAGCGCGCATTGGTCACGTGGTTGATAACGTTACTCTTGATCATCTGTCCATCATCGTATAAAGCCCGCCCTGACAATTTGATTGGATTGCCTGACAGTGGGCTTTAATACTCGCGCTACTATGGAGCAGAGCCAGACCGAACTTCCCCGAACTCAAACCTTGTGGGCGGGACTAAGTTCGGACTGGCACCCAGGCTAGTGGCGTACCTCATCATGATAATGATTTTGGACATAGGGAATCAATGCATCAACTCAATATGTTTTATGGGTTTCCATTGTGTATATAGCAGCTTAGTTTAGTTGAGTTTGACCATCAATGTCAACAGTTTTTAACTGAAATATGATTGATTTTGACCTGAATGATTTTTATAAATAAACCCTTATATTGGGAATGGAAGTTGTGGTGCATGTATTCTATAGATGTGCAAAATTATCTGACCATGATTTGAGCTTTATTCACACTTTGAGTGGTTGTTCTAACACAAAGCTAGTAGAACGTTTGTTCATAAACAATATATGACAGTCTGAATATTCTCTGAGTAAATAACTTGTTTACCACTCCTACTCGGGTGGACACTAGATATGATAAAGTTGCACAACACTTGACACATTATGGCATTGCTTGTAGCATCCATGTGCAATACCTGCAAATGGTCCTTAGATTCATAAATGGTTCTGTCAGCCCCTATGGAGCTTGTGAAAAGGAGGGATCTGATCCCAAATCCTTCTGGGTGAAAGCCACGCCCTCTTTCCAGTCAATCAAAGGCATTTCCCTACAGCCAAGTAGCCATAATGCATTATCAATCCGAGACATTGTGACATGACCCTATACTGTCACAAGTGCAAATACCATAGCTGCTCTAAACCATACAACTATTAGGAGGTAGATTACAATCTCTTGTGGTAGGACTAATTTGAAGTAAATAATGGCAATTTCCTCAACTAAAAAAACTAAAATGTCAGAAACTGGGAGATTTACAACATAATCTATGGGGTTACAGAAAGAACCTTCCTACAAGACAAAATGGCACAAAGGCTGAAGTTAAGGAAATAAATCCTCAAGAGTAACAAAAGAAGCTCCTTTTTACAAACCAGCAATATTATAAAACAGTGGGGAAAAGCTTTGAAATGACTCTAAACATGTTTTAAAAAACTGCAAGCAGAAAGGACAAAACGCAACATTAGAAACCCACTGGCAACCAAAACAGAAATCCAATCCAGAGAAAATAAAGAAGTGTTTTGAAGAATATCTACAGAAATTGTATTCTCAGCCACAATTAAGGAATAATAACCACAATGATGCTTTCCTGTCCTCATTAAGTCTGCCAAGGGTTACTGATGTTGAAAATGAAAGCCTGATATCAAACATTACTAGAAAGCAGTTTTATCAGCCGTTAAACGACTGAAAACAGGGAAATCTTCTGGAACAGATGGCTTCAATTCAGAGAGATGGAAATTTATGCAGGAGGAGCTGAGTAATGGAGAAACAAATAATTCCTTCTTCATGGAAAGAAGCAATAATTTCTATAACTCCAAAGGATAACAGGGAGAAATTAGAATGTAATAATTATCATCCAATCGGAGCATTGAATATTGATTATCAATTTGTTGGGAGCTGGAGTAGTACCATCTTTCTCCAGCAGAGTCCGCCGTGGATCCTCCTGAGCAGAGCCTCCTGCACAGCTGCTGCTCATTACCATCATCAGAGGATCCACTATATAAGCTGTCTTCAGACCTTGCCTCAACGCCGCAGTGTTGTTCCAGTTGGTCAGCGTTAAAGCCTAGATCTTTATTGTATCTCTATGACTTTGAATCCAGGTTGGATTCTAACCTCTGTCTCTGTGTTTCCAGAAAACCCGTGCCTCCTCTGTGAAAGCTCAGGAAGAGCTAACCTGCCGAACCGACCCTCAGAGCCAAACCCTACAGATCCTCTGAGAACCTCCAAGCAGCTCTGGACTAGAGCTGGGAAACCAAGGCCAAGGTCTGAACGTGAGACGCTGAAGCAGCAAACGGACTCTGCTTACAAGCTCTTCTCCAGAACCAACAGTGACTCTCCCAAAGAGAACCTCAAGAACCCTCAAGACTCCGGTGAAACCAGAACCCAGGCCCGAACCAGATCCTGTACATTCTGTGTGTTTGTGCAGAATAAACTCTGTTTAACCATACTCCTGCTCCCGCCTCAGTGGTGTTCTGCATAATTGGAAACCTCCTTGAGAACCAATCATGACAGAACGCTGCGGCCAGCAAGATTTCCCAGCGGAACCCCTCTGGAGGCTTCTGAAGGATCTCCCGACCCGGGTTCAGAACCTGGAGGACCTCCTCCGTGGGAGCCTAGATGAATTGGCTAGGAGAATTGAGTGCGCCATCCGTGATATTCAGGACCGGCTCGTGGACTTAATCATGGGTGAGCTCAACACTCGACTTAATAGGTCTCCGCAGGAGCTTTCCAGACAATCAGCTCCCAGAGCGGAGCCCGTTCAACTTCCGTTTCCGGAACCGGAGCCTGTCACGTCACTTCCGGAATTTCGCCCGTCTCTCCCAGAGAAATTTTCAGGTATCCCTAGCAAGTGTAAGGGGTTTTTGTTTCAATGCTGACTTATTTTCCAGAACTCTCCAGGCAGCTTTTCCACAGATTACAGGAAGATAAACTTCATCCTTTCTCAGCTAACAGGTAGAGCCTTGGAGTGGGCTCAGGCTAGATTTCCCACTGACGACAGTCTTAATGTCTATTATTCAGACTTCATCTCCGAATTTACTCAGGTTTTCAACCAAGATTCTGACCAAACAATTGACTCTCGAGCTCTGTTAAATCTTAAACAGGGGAACTCCTCTGTAGCGGATTTTTCCATAGACTTCCGGGTTAAAGCTGCAGCCTCAGGCTGGAATGAATGTGCACTTAAGAGTGCATTTTTCAACGCTTTAAACGAGAACTTAAAAGATGAACTCGCCACACTCGAGACACCTGAGACCCTTGAGGAACTTATTAGGCTGACAATTAGTTTGGATAACCGTCTTCGAACCAGATCTAAGTCTAAGATTAGGAGACATGTTTTACCTGTTTCTGTTTCTACAGTTAAGAGAAGGGACACCCCTTCCTTTGTTTCTCCCGAAGAGGCATTCAGCACAGAGAGCCGTGCTCAGCCTGAATTTATACCTGTGCCAAAGGTTCACTTTGCTCCTCCAGCTTGTGAACCTGCTGAGGGGGAGCCTATGCAGATTGGTCACACCAGGCTCACACCCGATGAGAGGAAGAGAAGGTTTAAAGAGAAACTTTGCTTTTATTGTGGAATACCTGGGCATTTTGTTTTTTCCTGTCCAGCAAAGAATAGGATTTGGAGCTCGTCTGCGATTATGGGGAGTCTGGTGAAGCATCAACTAAATAGAAAATCCTCTCATCTACTTTTACCTGCTACCCTGTCCTGTTCTGATCAGACTCTCACTCTGTCAGCCTTCATAGATTCTGGTTGTGAGAGAAACCTTATTGACTCAAGTCTAGTTCAACAGCTAAACATTAAAACCACCCCTCTGAGGAAGCCACTTAAAGTCTCAGCCATTGATGGAAGGAGTCTACACCAAGTTACCCACGAAACTCAGCCTCTTCAGCTTCAAGTTTCAGGTAGTCATCGAGAGACCTTAACCTTTCTTGTTTTCCCGTCAGCCTGTTCTCCCTTGGTTCTGGGATATGAGTGGTTGGAGCGACATAACCCTCATATTAATTGGACTCATAGACACGTAGAATCGTGGTCTCCCTCCTGCCATGCCTCCAGTCAGTCAACCAGTCCCCGTTCCGCCGAACCTTCTGGAGTCCCTCTACGGCCGATCCGAGCATCCAGGGGCCCTCGATGGGCGCCTCAGGACACCTCGGAGGTTGCACCGGAGTCGTCGTGGGCGGCTCTCTCCATGTTGCAGCCAGAGCTGCAGTCGGCGGTCCTCTCTGAATCAGCTCCGGTGCCGCAGTGGGCGGCCCCGCCCTGCACCTATTTCTGAGCTGCTACCGGGTGTCTCCCAGTAAGATTTCAGAGACATTCTTTGTTGACGTCCACCTTTTGTGGATTGTTTTTTGTTCTGGGACTCAGTTTGTTTTTTCCTTTTTATTTTCCTCCGTCCACCCTGGGTGGGTTGGTTCTTGTTTTGGACTTGGCTTCTTGCCTACCTAGTTTGGTGCCCCTGCGCCCACCCTTGGTGGGATGTTTTTTGTTGTTTCCTTGTTTCCCTAGGTCTTGTCTGAAGCGTCTGGAA